TCATCATCATCATCATCATCATCACCACCATCAATATCATCATCATCATCATCATCATCACCACCACCACCATCACCACCACCACCACCACCACCATCATAAACATCATCATCATCAGCATCACCACCACCACCATTACCACCAGCATCAGCATCAGCATCATCATCATCATCATCATCATCATCATCATAATCATCATCATCATCATCAGCATCATCATCATCAGCAGCAGCAGCATCCTCATCCTCATCCTCATCCTCATCCTCATCCTCACCCTCATCCTCATCCCTCCCTCCCTCCCTCCCTCCCCCCCCTCCTTCCCTTCCTCCCTCCCTCCCCCCATCCATCCCTCTCTTCCTCCCTCCATCCCTCCCTCCCTCCATGCCTCCTCTTCTTTTACCAGCGCAGGGAACTCACCCCGTGGCTAAGCGAAAGGGGAAGAGAGCAGAAAGGGGGGGGGAGGGGAAGGAGGAGAAGCAGCAGCAGCAGCAAGCAGAGGAAGCGCGCGGGCGCGGCCGGCGGCCGACGCCCGCCGCCTGCGCCCCGGCTCAGCGGGGCGTGGGACGCCAGGAGACACTCTAGTGCTAGATGCGTCCTCCTTGGAGGCGCGCGTCCGACCCGAACAGATAATACACCCACCTTGAAGGCATATCGTTTCCCGGGCGGTGTGGCCAGAAAGCGCCCGCCATGACGCCTCTACGACAGAAGTTTTTCTCGGTGCGCGCGTCTCGCCCATGGGGGTGGGGGGTGGGGGGGGGCGACGCACACGTAATATCAGTAGGCTGCGGTGACGCCGATGGGGCTTCGTGCGGCGGATCGGGCTCCTCAGAGCTCCGCCACCGCGGGGCCGCCTCCGAGAGCCGAGGGGCGGCGGCGGCTCCGGAGCCCCGGCCGCCCTGCACCGCCCCCTGCGGAGAGCGCGCTTGCGTCCAGGTGGCCCTCGCCTGCAGGCCCGATCCTGCTCACGGCTGGCCGCTGGAGAGATCGCGTGCGATGCGGCGCCGCCTGCTCTGGATGGGGCAGTAGTCGCCCCCCCCCCCTTGGATCCGCTGGGTGGGGCCGGGCAAGTGCTGTCGGAACCGGGTGGAGGAGGAGGAACAGGAGGAGGAGGAGGAGGTGGAGAAGAAGAAAAAGGAGGAGAAGCAGGAGGGTGAGAAGGAGGAGGTGGAGGAGGGGGTTCTTTTTCGGGGGGGGCGGGGGGGGGAGCGCCATCGCGTGCCAGCAGGGCCTCGGTCTGACAACGCCGCCAGCGACGAAGGCCCAATCCTGCGGCGACAGCCGCGACGTGAGTGACTTCGAACCCTGGCAGGTCTGCTCTGGGCCCCGAACTCACGACGCTTTCACTCGTCGCCGCGGTGCTGCTCCCCTACGTCTTGCCGTTCCCCCCAAAGCTCACGGCATGCTCGTCACCTCAGCGGTCGGACTACGCAGGTGCCAGCAACGAGGAAGATGAGCAATATTCCGCCCACCTCCTCCAGGGGCAGACGAGGAGAACAACGACACACAAAAAGAGAGGCAGCAGCACCACGGCGCAGGAGGAGCAGAGAGCGGAGCGGGAGGCGGCGAGGGAGGGGCGAGGAGCGGCAGCAGCAGACGAGCGAGGCGGCAGCGGCAGCACCAGGGAGAAGACCGGGGGGCCTTGGGCGTCGCCGTCGCCGCCGCCGTCGTCGCTCTCGAGACGACGACGGCAAGAGCGCACGGCGAGCGCCGTCGAGCCGTCCTTCTGAAGCAGCGCCCCAGCGGCACCGGCGGAACCGGCGCTGGCCAATCGGAGCCTCCAGGCGGCCCCCCCGCGGGTCCTCCTGCTCCGTCCCACTCCTCCTCGTCCTCCTCCTCCTCCTTTTCCCTCCTGCTCCTCCTCCTCCTCCTCCTCCTCCTCCTCCTCCTCCTCCTCCTCCTCCTCCTCCTCAAACGTAGCCTCGGAAGGAGTTCGTCCACTCTAGCCCTTACAGGGCTCAGCTTGCTGCAGGAACTGCGATCTCGCATCATCCTCAGCATCATCATCACATTATCATCATCATCGTCAGTATCGTCATCATCGTCATCATCAGCATCATCATCAGCCACATCATCATTATCATCATCATCCTCATCATCATCATCATCATCATCATCATCATCATCATCATCATCATCATCATCGTCATATACATCATGATCATCATCATCATCATCATCATCATCATCATCATCAGCATCATCATCATCATCATCATCATCGTCGTCGTCATCATCATCATCATCATCATCATCATCATCATCATCATCATCATCATCATCATCATCATCATCATCATCATCATCATCATCATCATCATCATCATCATCATCATCATCATCATCATCATCATCATCATCATCATCATCATCATCATCATCATCATCATCATCATCATCATCATCATCATCATCATCATCCTCCTCCTCCTCCTCCTCCTCCTCCTCCTCCTCGTCCTCCTCCTCCATTCCTTATCCTTATGAATAACGCCTCCCTCCCGAGCCGTCCGGAAGGGACGGCCGGGCGTTTCGCCTGACACTTCCTTACCACTTGTGCGCCTGAAGCCTGGAAAATGGTAACAATGTCACAGATCGAAGGCGGGCCGCTTCCAAAGTGTGGCTCTCACCTCAGCACAGCGCATATTCTTTTTCAAAGTTTGCAAGGGCTTCACGGACTGAGGGCAAGTCGTTTTCAAAACGTGTTAGCGTTAGCGCCGCGCACATGCGTCCTAATATCAGGCAGCTTTGACTCCAAAAAGATACGAGGACAGGAGGAGGACGGGAGGAGGATGGGAGGAGGACGAAAGGAGGACGAAAGGAGGACGGGAGCAGGACGAGAGGAGGACGGGAGGAGCAAAATCAAGCAAGCGCAATCAAGCAAGCGGAAGCAAGCAAGCGGAAGCAAGCAAGCCCAAGCAAGCAAGCGCAAGCGAGCAATAACAAGCAAGCAAGAGCCAGCGATCACGCGCAAGCAGTCAAAGGCAAGCAAGAGCAAACAACGATAGCAAGCACGCAAGAGCAGGCAAGCAAGAGCACGCAAGAGCAAGCAAGGGCAAGCGACTCATAGGAATCCATAGGAATCCATAGGACTCGTCATTGGATACAGCTGGGGGGTGCCATTGGAAATAAGGGGGTGCCATTGGCAAAAGGGGGGGGGAGGGGGGGGGGGCATTGGAAATAAGGGGGGGTGCCATTGGACAAAGGGGGGGGTCCTAAAGACCAATTACGTATGATGAGCTAGGACTCCCATAGGGCAAGCATATTTGGAGGGAAACTTCGCAAGAGCTTCACGAATTGAGGGCGGGTGGTCTTCAACATGTGGCTCGCGCCTTAGCGCCGCGCACATTCGTCCCAAAAACTTGCATGAGCTTCGCGGATTGAGGGCAGGTCGTTTTCAAAATGTGGCCCTCGCCTTGCAAGAGCTTGCCGGATTTAGGGCGGCTCGTTTTCAGAATGTGGCCCTCGCCTTAGCGCCGCGCACATTCGCCTAAAACATGTGCAAGAGCTTCACGGATTGAGGCGGTTCCTTTTCAAAATGTGGCTCTCGCCATAGCGCCGCGCACATTTGTTTTAATTACCCCAGTGCGACCCTACCTAGAAGTTGGAGCCCCTCGGAAAGCAGCATTAGTTGCTATGCTCTGCTATGCTATGCTATGATATACCATGATATGCTGTGCTATGCTGTGCTATGATATGATATGCTATGCTGCGCTATGCTATGCTATGCTATGATATGCTAAGCTATGCTATGGCATGCTGCGCTGTGCGATGCTAAGCTATGATATGCTATGGTATGATATGCTAAGCTGCGCTATCATATGCGATGTCATGCTATGATATGCTATGCTATGTTATGCTATGAAATGATATGCTATGCTGCGCTATGCTATGCTATGCTATGCTATGCTTGGCTATGTTATGTTATGCTATGCCATGCTAATGCAGCACTGCGCTATGCTAAGCTAAGCTCAGCTAAGCTAACCCTCTAGACAGAGCCTAGGTAGGGAATTACACCCATTGCTTTGCTTTGCTTTGCGTTGCTTGTGCTTTGCTTTGCTGTCGCTGCTGCTGCGTTGCCTTTGCTTTGCTGCTATGTTATGCTCTGCTATGATATGCTATGCTATGCTGCGCTCAGCTATGCTGTGCTGTGCTGTGCTGCGCTATGCTATGCTATGCTATGCTATGCTGCGCTATGCTGGGCTATGCTGTGCTATGCTATGATATGCTATGCTGCGCTATGCTATGCTACGCTATGTTATGCTACGCTGTGTTCTGCTATGCTGCGCTATGCTGGGCTATGCTGGGCTATGCTATGCTATGCTATGCTGCGCTATGCTATGCTACGCTATGCTATGCTATGCTGTGCTCTCCTATGCTAAAGCTCAGCGAAGCTGAGATGAAGGTAAGCTAACTTAAGATAAAACCTGAGCTAACATGAAACTAGGCTAAGCTAAGATGAAAAGATAAACCTGAGCTAAGATGAAGCTAAGCTAAGCTAAGATGAAAAAAGCTAAGCTAAGATGAGATAAGCAACGCTAAGCTAAGGGGATGTAACTGGGGGAACCGCAGGGCGGATCCTGGGGGAACCGCCCGGGGCGTTTAGCACTGCCCGGCCCCTTTAAGCCAACAGGGTAAGAACCCTTCTAGGCAGAGCCTAGGTAGGGAACAATGTATGAGGGCTTCGCGGCCTTTTCTTGGCTGAACTTCCAGAAATGGTGTCTCGAACGTTTCAGGATTGGGCGCAACAGTTATGCCGATTCGCGGTGTTGAAGTCCCAGGAATGGTGTTCTGACACGATTCAGGGTCGTCAGGACGCAACAGTCAACCTGACTTGTGACGCTGAACTCCTGAGAATGGTGTTTGGCACGCTTGAGGATTTTCGCACGGTTGTCTCCCAACGGAGCACTTCACTCAGTGGAAGTGACTCCTTCTATGGGGCCTATGAAGAGGGAGCTTGGAGGACCCAACATCGTTGACGAGTCTTGGGTTTACACTGGCCCTCCTCCTCATTTTCATCATCATTATCAGCACCAGCAACATCAGCATCACCACCCTCATCATCAGCATCATCAACATCATCCTCATCATCATCATCATCATCATCAGCATCATCATCATCGTCATCATCATCATCACCATCATCATCATCGTCCTCGTCGTCGTCCTCATCAGTTTCATCATCATTAGCAGCATAAGCATCACCCTCATAATCATCATCAGCATCCGTATCATCAGCATCATCATCAGCATCATCATCATCACCGCCATCATCACCATCATCGTCGTCATCATCGTCAACGTCCTCATGATCATCACCAGCGCTGTCATCGTCATCACCATCATCATCAGCATCATCAACATCTTCACCATAATCGTCATCAGCAGCCGCAACAGTCGCATCATCATCAGAATGATCATCAGCATCAGCATCATCATCGTCATCAACAACAGCAGCATCATCATGATCATCATCATCGTCATCATCATCATCGTCATCGTCATCAGCATCAACATCAACATCATAATCATCATCAGCAGCATCATCAGCATCATCATCCGCGTCCTCCTCCTCCAACTACTTCTACTCCTTCTCCCTTTCCTCGACCTCCTACTCCTCCCCCTCATCATCCTCCTCCTCCTCCTCCACCTCCTCCTCCTCCTCCTCCTCCCCCTCCTCCTCCTCCTCCTCCTCTTCCTCCTCCTCCTCCTCCTCCTTCTCCTACTCCTCGTCCCCCTCCTCCTTCTCCTCCACCTCCACCTCTACCTCCACCTCCACCTCCACCTCCTCCTCCTCCTGATCCTCCTCCTCCTCCTCTTTCTCCTCCTCCACTTATTATTATTATTATTATTATTATTCACATTATTCTTCTCATGGTTATTACAATTAGTACTGTTATTAATACCATTATTACTACTAACAGTATTAGCAGTATTGCTAGTATTGCTAGTCTTAGTAGTATTTCTACCATGATTATCGTTATAAGCAGCATCCTCATCATGATTGTTACTCCTGATACTACGACTATTATTACGATTACTATTATTAGTGTAAGTAGTACTAGTTTGTCGCCTTGATCTTAGTGTTATCATTGTTAGTAGTGTTCTTAGTTTGCGTCTTCATCTTATGAGTATGATACTTCGCAGTATGCTTAGTATTCTTCGTACTATGAATGACAATTCTGTGATTATTGCTAATATACAGTATGCTGATTATTGATTGTGCTACTATTATTACTACTATTCGCGTTCGTTTTCTTATTACTATTCCTCCTCCTCCTCCTCCTCCTCCTCCTCCTCCTCCTCCTCCTCCTCCTCCTCCTCCTTCTCCCCCTCCCCCCCCCCGTCCTCCTTCTCCTCCTCCTCCTCCTCCTCCCCCTCCTCCTCCTCCTCCTCCTGCTCCTCTCCTCCTCCTCCTCCTCCTCCTCCTCCTCTCCTCCTCCTCACTCCTCCTCCTCCTCCTCCTCCTCCTCCTCCTCTTCCCTCCTCCTCCTCCTCCTCCTCCTCCCCTCCTCTTCCTCCTCCTCCTCCTCCTCCTCCTCCTCCTCCTCCTCCTCCTCCTCCTCCTCCTCCTCCTCCTCCTCCTCCTCCTCCTCCTCCTCCTCCTCCTCCTCCTCCTCCTCCTCCTCTTCCTCCTCCTCCTCCTACCTGTCCTCCTCCTCTATCTCGTTTCCTCATCCGTCACCGTGCGCAGAGGCACGAAGTGGCGTGTTCTCCTGGCTTCTAGCGTTCTCCGTACCCCGTTTTCAATTCTAATGTATGATCAGACCCACCAGTGTGA